TTTACTAAGATGTGTTTATTTATTTATTTTTTTTTTTGTCTGTTACCACTTTTTCTCAGCTCTCACCGAACCGATTTCTTTCAATGATACGTCAATAGATCACAAATCGTATCTAGTCGAAGACATTAACCTCAAAAATTGAAAAAAATTCCCTCGTTCCCCGTAAATGGGAGAAACCTCCAAAAAAATTACAAATTTAAAAATCGGTAAATTTTGTCATTTTTTTCAATTTTTTTTACTTAAAAGTGCCATAACTTTTTCAAAAATGAACGTATCAATATGATTCTTTTTTATATAGATGCATAATATCATTACCTTTCATTAGATATTTTTTTCATAAATTTAACCCTTAACCTGCCCACAGGGGGGATTTAAAATGACAACTTTTTCATCTTAACTTTTGAAAATGTTCCGGGAGGTCTGACACTTTTATATATATATCTTAAATTAAAGCTAATGTAATGTTCTTTATTATGGAAAAATAAATTTCGGACTTTATTTTGTCTTCACGGTGAAAATGGCTACCGAATGCTATTATTGTGTGAAAATTCTGGATTTTATTTTTTACATTTTTAACTTTATAATGCTATAACATATTAAAAATTGTATGGATCAACATAATTTTTTTATGAGAAATAAATTTTTTTAATAATTCCTTTTTCATTCGACATAAATTATCTGAATCAGGATATTAATAACGAACAGCAGATCATGTAGCTTTTGGAATAATCCACTAATTTTTTAAAATTAAACACTATCTAAAGATTTGCATTGAAGCGTTTTATTTTGGTAGTGATTTTAATCACTGTCAGATATCATTATACTTGATCAAACTATGCTTCGTACCCACTGTGCTGGGTATTATGTTTTATTAATTTGATGTACTATTATTCTTGAGGATATTACTTATTAATAAATATATGAATAAACAGATTACCTCAACAATATTGAAATGAGTATGACCTTCCATTTTTTCCCTAGGGTAATACTTTTTCAACGATTGTTAAAAAAGTATTACCAATATCATTTATATTTTCGGGTAATGCATTTTATTGTAGCTCAAAATAGTACTTATGGTATTTTTAAAATCATCTTGCAAAAATTCTGGATAAAGAACAGATGTTTCGTTATATAAATCTGTAAAAGTTAAATTTGTATGAAATTGCTTGGTTTCTCAGTTCACTAATAAATTGATGAATAATTGCAAATATATACAGTAGATTATCGTGTTCTGTTAGTAATAAAAAATGTTATATGCCGTCATTCCAATATTATTGAATTATACAAAAAAAATTATTAACATTTTTTCCAGACATAATATAATATTGTAATAATATTATAAATGTAAATATTAAATAATTAAGTCATCCTAGGTATATCATGATTATGTGACAAATTGTCATGAGGTTTCTCATTTTGTTACTCTAAGTAGATAGACGAGCCTCGCTTTCTTTGTTTTTCGTATTGTAAAGGATTGGGTTATTATTCGTTGTAATCAAAATCTACGTGTACCCTTACAAAATTAAGGTTTTATACAAGCGAAAAAATGTATCTTCCTAAAAATATTAGTTTTAAACATACGTTTTTCTCGATTCAAAATAAATCTTTATTTTATAGTGATTTTTTTTAATAAAAATTAATATTTTTTTGAACATTTCCTGTTAATAAAATTATACAATTGCGTCTCACGAAAGACATTCCTATTATTTGTATTTTCAATGAACAAAAACTAAAACATCATATTTATGCCGATTAATTTTATTCATTATACTATATAGATAGTACACAAAAAACTGTCATAACTTTTTGAAAAATGGATGAATTGAAATAATTTTTGTATAAATACCTTAGGTATTTCCATTTTATTTTGAATATCTTTTTTGAAAATCTGACCCTTTTTTGTCCATAGGAGTGAAAACCCAAATAGCAACTTTTGTTTGATAAAATCTTTTTTCAGCTAAACTTTTAAAAATGTTTTGGAAATAACACGAAATTAAAAGATATATTAAATTGCAGCTAATATTACTATAAGTGACTATGTATATTTATATATTCAGTGTAAAAAGAAATATAGATTTATAAGTAAAATAAACTGTATCTTATGATGGTTGATTCGTTGACAGCTGATGAACACCAAAAAAACCTCGAGGTAAAGTTGTCACATTACCATATTTAGATAGGAAGACCTCAAAAAAGGCCATTGTTAGTACTTTATAAACTAGGGGAAGATGATTGTTGAAGGGTAATAAAAATAAAATTCACCAGTCCATTGAAGATGAAATACGCAAAAAAAATTGTGATTTAGTTAAATTAAGAGGATTTTATTAAATAAAAATAATAATTTAAATTAATACTAGGCAAAAAATCAAACAGTCATAAAACCTCGTCTGCAGATTATAGGGAACAAAAAATGAAAAAAAAAACATAAATAAAAAAAAAATTACACTTAAAATTTTTATAATTAGAGAATGCGACGAAAGACTCCGTGCGATCGACTAGCGTTAAACATGGCGTACACTATTTTAGTGTCACATTTTAATTCATGTAATAAATAATATATATGCTTAATAAAAATATGTCACCAAACAGTGTTCTCCCGTGGATAAGATGAATAAGAAATAATAGCCTTACACAAAAATCAACTACTCTCTTACTCATTCTATAAAACGCCCACATAAATGATTCTATCACATTAACCAATCAAATACAACAAAAAAATATCTTAAGAATCTCTTGAGATCGCTAAACTAATTTTGCGGGCGATAAAATGACCATTTTTTTTTCAATAAAGAGAGTTCTTGGTCAATATTCACACACATGGAATTTGCGTCAGTATATAATTCGATCTCAGTTATTTTCAATATCTAAATCATTTTGAATTTCATTTTTAGTTGCTAGGACTTAGAAAAATTATTATACATCTTATTTTCGGTTATTTCCTTGAAAAATGTTTGTATCACCAAAAAGTGATACAAACATTTCAACACATAAAGCATATTGATATTTAATTTATTCATTTTTATTTTACACCTTAACACACTTCAAAAAAATACACGATTATAGATTGCATTATGCTCTATTACTTACAAAAGGATCATAAACTGGCTGGATAAAGTACTAGCATAATAACATTATAATCAAAATTTTAATCAATCATAAGAGCTATTCATGCAGATGGAATTTTTAAATTTTTGTAATATTGAATATTCACTTTGTCTGAATATACAATAAACACTCTCGCCCAGAGATATTTTCTAAAATATATTATACCAAAAACAAAACCAAGAGATTCAATAGTTGTGCTAGAGTATGTTATTTCAGCATTTAAGAGTTTTTTAGAAGCATAACCTATTGGTCTTAGTATGTTATTATCATCAGGTTGTTCAAGAACGCTCCTAATCCCATAATAATAACATCGATAATAAGATATGTCTATATTATATGTTTATAGGCATATAATATTACTATAACTTCTATTTATGACTATCGCAGTCATAAACAATAATTTAGAGCCTTGTAGTAAACAAACAGCCGATAATTATGTTTATTATGTTTTAAATATGATTATTTCATTTAAAAAATAGAAATATAATATTTTGTGGACAACAAACATTTCTTGGAACTCTTGATTAGTTCATAAAACTTGCTTTTACAAACTGTAATAAAGCTTTTACTAATTTTTAACAGTTTAGTGTTTGATTGAAGAAATGCTTTGGGAATTTTTTTATAAATTTCCTCGATAGTATTTATCATATAAGAATTTCAATGCAATTATTAATTTGAGAATTATGACTGATTCTAAAATAGGAAGAGAATTAGGTTTTGTGTAAATTAAAAAAAATCTTTGAATACTCAGAAAGTCGATTATACTTGTATGTAAACCTTTATACACCAGAAATTTGTGACTAAGTTGGTATATGGCATAAGACAATGAAATACCATAATAAAATTTTAACGAATTAATAACTTTATGACATACTATAGTTAATATTATAAATATTATCAAAAATGTAAAAACATGTAGAAAATGTATAAAATTGTATTGATAATGAGAAACGTATTCAATTCATAACATTAAAACATTCCCTTACTTTTATTATTAATGTGGCATTTCCAGTAAACTACTTATTATTTTAAAGTAAAAAAAAAGTTTCTTATAGCATTAATATTCATAAATATGATTAATATAAAGATCAAAAGATTATTTATAGTTTTTGAAATTAGATGATGAAATTTTTTACTTGCAAAAATTAAGGAGAATTTTACAATTACAAACAATTGGTAAAAGATAAAGCTATCCAATAATATATACTTTATACTTAATATTCATAAATTAATAAGTTATATAATTAAATAGGCTTTGCCTAGCTGGGGATCCGCCTCAGGCTTGTGGTACTATGAGACTCACGCATCTTCGTCACGTAAGCTTCTTTATGTCATCCTCATAAGTAGGCCACTAAATCCGGTAAGAGTCAAAAAAATATAAATTTTTCATATTAAATTAGTAGCACTGAATTTTAGCCGTAAATTTTGTTTTAAATTTCATATAATTATTATTATATGACATTATTTATGTGTTTATATTTAAGTTCATATAAATTGGCACATTCAAATGTCGAATTATAATCTCATAGTTAAAAATAAAATTATATATTAAGTCATAAAATTCCTATTTATAACTTGAAAAATATACTAACTTACAAAAATATTTAAACTAATCGTTAGGCACAACTATAGTACAGAGCACAATACTAGCCTTACTATTCACAAAATAGGTTTTATATTTAAATTAATACTGGAACTTGAGGCACTATACTTTAGGCTTACGAATTTATTTTAAAATCATTTTATAGTATTATTTTGAGTACATAATAAAAAACACAATATATAGCAATGAAGTTTTGCGAGTTAAATATTTAAACTTTAGCATAATATATTACTAAAAAAAATCTAAAAAAATATCGTCTGAATTATTTGTTTGAGGAGTGTTTGTTTTAAAATAGAATATATATAATGTCTACATAAAAATTGTAACTATACGTTTGTAAACTATTAAAAGCAATTTTTTTATCTGTATCAGTTTTACAAATTTATTAGAAATGCAGCTCAGCATATTTATTTTTATATATTTTACTCACTTGGGGCATATATCAACTTTAGATCTAACATCTGTAAAAGGTAGTTATTTAGAATATGTCATTACTATAATACAACATATTTGTGGCCAAAAAGGTTGGGATTCAATGAAACATTTGCAGTTAAATCACGATGAGTATGAAAACATGACAATAAAAGATGCTTTTACACAAAAAATTAACAAAAACAATATTTTAGATATGTTTATTATTGTTGTTCGTTTACATAACTACAAGTATTCACAGATATTAAGAAATTATGCCGAACTCATCACTTTAAACATAAAAGAATGTGAAAAGTATTTAACAGACAATCTATTCAGAGGATTTATCGATAGTACCCGACGTATTGAAAATGAAGTGAAAAAATCCTTGAAAATGTTTAAAAAATTGTATGAAGTAATGACATTTATAAGTTATATAGATATAAAATTCTTATTTACAAACATTTTACAAAACCCATACGTCATGGTAGACGAAATTTATTTTGCCTATCATTATACAAATACCATGAAAATATCAGATCAATCATTTTATACTGATCAGGTTGGTAACATTAAACATGAAAATGCGATTTCAGTACTTTTAAATATTAAAACATTCATTAATCAATTATATTTAATGGCACAAAGTGTTGAAAAAAAAAGATGTGTTTTTGCTCAACTACCTGAAAAAATTAACTATCATTTGATTTTTGAAGAGCGATATTTACATTACAATTTAGTAGATGATAATCCAACTGCTATCGATATTCTGTTAAATATGCTAGATACATTTTGCAAGGACACCATAAAAAATGATTACGAAGACCTAGGATTTAAAGAAATACTTAACCCCATTTTATACAAGTAAATTAATAATTTAATAATTTTTCATTATTTAATTTAAGGTATACACCTCACATTTTTGGGCCTCTCACCTTAATATAAAATCTTAATTTCTGAAGTAGTATTTTAAAAATTGATTTCGGTTAATCCCTTTCTTAATTAAATTATTATTTACTTTTTAATGTAGTAAAATGTGCTTGTTCCAATTAAAATAAGTTCACACTTTTTTAAGGTATAAGGAATGAATAATAAATGCAATTATACTTGATAAATTGAAAAAAATATTTTTTTTTACATAATTATGATTTTAAATGGAATCAAGTCGCTAACGTTAAAAGAATCATGCTTTACTGTTTAATTACTGGACCTCTAAATTAAAGGTCGAATTTATACAAATAATGTGTAAAACAACTCTTGTTTGATTTTTGTATAGAGTTTAATAAATCATAAATTGTTCGATAAATAGGTGAGAACCATTTTTCTAAATGCTTATTCAATTTTTATGTTTAATAAAAGGTACTTAATAAAAACTATACAATTTTTTATAATTTTTTTTTCAACTAGTGTTGAAATTTACAAAAAATAAAATAAAATGTTTCTAACTGGAAATTTTTTTATATAGGTGTGATTCATTATTAGTACCTCAATTTGATTCTATTTCACAAAATAAAGGAATAGTAAATTTAAATATTCTTCTTAATGATGGTAACTGGGAGACTTTGCATTATCTATATATAACTTATAATAAACAAGCACTAAGTGTAAATCGTGTGTTAAGGGATCAAGTAAATAATAACAATTATCATCTCAAAAAACAGTATATCACTCTACTATTAAGATGTAGATTTTATGACATATTAAAAAATTTCATTACAAGATTATCTGGAGTTATACATTTTTGTAAACAAGAAAAGAAATTTGAAAATCTAAAAAAATTTAATGAATGTGTAAATAATTTTTTTCTGACTATGAAAAGTGTTCAAAATTTTTTACATTATTTAGACATAGCAATGGAGAAATTAAAACAAGCTACAATATGGCATGACAATGGAGCATTTTATTGTATATCACCAATAAAAAAAATAGTTAATAATGTACTTGACTTGATGAAACAAAAAAATTTGTTACGAGATGTGTTTTCTGACGGGATATTAGATTTGTATGAAGTAGCAAACAATTATCTCAATGACGTGGAAGATGTAAAATTCTCTATTCAATTAGACATAAAAAATGCAAGTCGAGTTCATAATAGACATTGTTCTTATCACAAAAAAGTGTTGTTTTCTAAACAAGATGTTTTAAATAGTATCATGACAAATGCAATTTCAACAAATATTACTCATTTGCCTACAAATCCTATTTCCTATTGTCAACAGGCTTGTGTGGATTTATATATGTATTGTGAAGATTTCATCAGCAACGAATATAAAAATCTAGGGTTTGATAAAATTAATTAAAAAGTTTGGTTGTCATTCTCAAATCATTTTATTATGTTAAGATTAATCTATTAAACTAATTTTGTCAATCATAGTTTTTTAGTATGTTTAATTGCTATAGGATTAGTAATGTCTAAAATTTATCAAATACTGTTAGCTAGACTTTAGGTAAAATTATGTTTTATTTAATTAATTGTATTGGTAAGAACCAGAAACTCCAGTGGCTAATTTAGGAGCGTTCTGAACTCCCTAAGATACCAATTTACATAAATTTAAATCTTCCAATTTTTGAAGTGGAGTTAGAACAAAAATGAAAGCATATATTTTTATTATTTATCATTAATAAATATAAATAAAACAAAACAATTTTTAAATTTAAAAATAGTCATTTTTAACCCATTTTTTAATTGAATCACAAGCATTTTAATAAATTCAGTTAATAAATGTATCGCGGCTGAAGTGTAAATACACCAGTATGAGCAATACTAGATTTTTTTATTAAATAGAGTGAGTATTAAATGCGGCCAGAGTATACATGATAAAATTCAATCGTTACATTAAAAGTGTAACTTTTTTTTATACTTTAAGTAAATATAGCCTTTTATATAAAATTATTACTGATATAAATTTTAAAATAAAAAGCTGATGTCATTATTTTCGATGAAATAAAAAATATCCACGTTTTCCTAAAAAAAGTAGGTTCTCTGTATTTTCATTAGAACAGCGCAAAATTTATATGTGTAAGTAGCTCAAAAGATAATTTAAAGAAAATTGGTTTATATGCACGCGCATGTATATTTACAGTAATGACGTAATTAGAATTTTAAGACTTTCTCAATACCTTTCAGTATTGAATATTTTTTCTAACTCCACTTCAAAAATTGTAAGATTTAAATAATTGATACTAACCTTACATATTAAAAAATGTAAAAATATCCGTGTCTGGGGAGACCAAATATCTTCCCGTAAATCTGCCACTGGAGCTTTATTGTCATGTATATTGTTTGTAAAGTCATACATGGTTTGAAAGCAGATTTTCTAGTGATTATAAATATGTTAACTAGTAATGGTATATAGTATGCATTTGTCTCGATAATAAATATATTGTAAATACTTTCATAAAATATACAGTAGGGTGGATCAAAAAAAGTCGATTTTTGACATTTTAATGAGAACCATTTTAATTTTATTTTGTACATTAAAATAGACATTTTGTGAAAATTTGAGATTTAAAAAAAAAATTTTACTGGTCGCTCGACGTGTTTTTAATAATTTTACCAAAAATACCCCAAAAAAACAAAAACTGCCTCTGATAATCAATTTTTGGTCAAATATTATGTTTAGTACGTCAAAATAGTTTGATTTTTACTATAGAATACAATTTTTTTAGTTTCAAAATTTTAAGTTAAAAATTGATAACGTGAATATCATAATTAACGTCATTATGTAGTATAACTCTAGTAGATGTCAAAAAAGCTTAAAATTTTTTTTATGCAGTTTCCCTGATATTTATGTATATTATAAGTAACAAAAAAAATTTTCACTACTCTTAAAAACTTATACTTTTTTTTAAAAATAAAGTGTAAGCTAAAATATTTGATATTTTTGAAAATAATTATAAATGACGATTGATCATCAAATAATTTTCAATTATATTTTTTTTATCAAAAAATTCATTTATATGGATTTAATTAGATAAATTTATATAATTATTTTGGTGTTCTCAGTTCAAATTTTTCAAAATTATTGTCTTTTATATCTCGAGTCGATCAGGTAGTTCTCACTAGAATTTGATAACATTCTGAAGTTTTAGTACTAAAGATTGTTTTAAAAAAATTAAATTAAATTTTTTGGGTTAGGTTTAAAAACACAACCCAACCCTTCAATTTTTTATAACTATAATTTTTTGAAAAATATTTTTCATGGATTTAATATATATTAAATATAAAGCTTAATTTAATTTTAATTCTTTGCCAAAGCCACTCTAAGTTGAAAAAACAGATTTTGAAAATTTGAACCAGCTTAAAATATTTTTATAATTGTAATTGCAGCGCTCGAATTGTAGCACATCACGTTATCAATCTATATGGAAGTGTATAAAGTTGAGTTCTGGAATCATAAATGCACGATGACGTAGTGATAAGGTTTTACTTTACGACCCCTTGGGTTATGGGTTCTAATCTAGTGCCTTGCATCTTTTTTTCATACGATTTCCAGTACATTTTCTAAAATCGACCGTCAATCCCCAGCGGCCGTGTTAATACATTATCAAACTTTTTCCTAACCTGATTTTTAAACACATCATGGTAAAATTAATACCTTCTGAGCTACGCATCGAAGTTAAACTCAATTTTTACAAAGAAATTTATTGAATCCTAAATACTAATAATCATTTTTCAAGACGTTTAAAACAAATGATATCAAATCACACATAGAATGATAATTAGTACTATATTCTGTTAAGGTATTGTTTGTATCAATCGTTTAAATGTTGTAATTAAACCTATATCTGATTCAGATTTAATAATTTTGCAATATTTCATGTTAAATTGAATTACGTCTATTAATTTCGTCTGTAAATCTAAAGATGAAACGTGAACTACGTCTATAAGAAACGTTTGAGATTTATAAAGCCCATCATTACTAAATAACAATTGGGTAAAATACTTTTTTCTAACATCAATAAAAAATTCTATCACTTTCTCTATGAGTATTTCTTGATATTTATATTTTATATCTTTTTTGTAGTATCTCAAAGTAATCAGAGCAACTAACATTTTTTGAAACATATCATCAGATGTTCTAAGTGTTTTCACTTATAGTACTTAACATTAGCTTTATTTTAGTATATGTTTGAAGCTCGGAGTATTTCCGGAACACTTTCAAAAGTTAAGTTGAAAAAATTTATTTTTTGTGAAAAAGCTGTCATTTTGAATCCCCTCTGTAGGCAGGTAAAAAGTCAGATTTTCAAGAAATGTATATCAAATGAAAGAAAAATATCTATGGTTTTAATATAAAAAAGCTTCTCATAGAAACTAAAAATTTTACCGTTCAAATAACGAAATAACATTGTTAAATTAATGTAACTAAACATACTAAATCTTACTTGAACGTATTTGTTCCTTCTAGTTATTCAAAGCCAAGTTTTGAATAACAATTTTCAATTCTTTCGGAAAAATATAATTCAAGATCTTTATAAATATCATTAATACAATCGTTGGAATCGTCTACCAGTTTTACCATTCTATTTGTTATTATACTTCATTAATAATTTGGTTAAAATAGAACTTTTGTCTTCTGTCCTACACTTTTCTATTTTTGTAAAGATTTGATATGATTAATACAGTTTTATAAAAGTATTTTATACTTATAATTTTATAATTTTCAAAAGTACGGACCCAACTAACAGTACTAAATAAATCAAATAATGACATATTGCTTAACTCAATTGCACATGTGTAAATGTAATTTATTTACTACAGTTTTAATATTAAGGATAGGCGAGTCTATAATTCATAGATCGATTTTGTCGAGATATTTTGCTACTTTCAACATTTCTTTAAATATATTTATTGAACAATTAAAAATATTCATTTGACATATATTGAAAATAAAATTTAACATTACATTGAATGTTTGAATTGCATTGATATATTCACGTTTAACAAACAAATTATAAATTAGAGTTTTTGTATAAAGTTATTTTCATCGAAGGTTTCACTTGTGACGCTTTTGGTATTAATTGTTAAGTGCTCATGTTTAATTTCTGTTTGTTGAATTGAGTCCCATCCATTTTGAACACGAATGTGGTTCAATGAGTTAATATAATATTTCTTAAAATCTTCACTTTGAGTATCACAATACACATCTAAAACTTGACTAAATTGCCAAAATAAGAATAACGTCCTATTTGTTAAATATTTAAGTTCTAACATACACTTCATTGAATAAATGATATATAGTGACGAAATATTTTTAGTATTTAAATTTAGAATTATTTTAGTTAAATTAAATTAATTATTAAAATTTAATTAATTTAATTTTATACATATTGTAAAATTACATTTTTTTTATTTTGAAAACATTTTTTTCATTAATTTTTAAATCTATAAATATTTGTAAGCAAAGTAACAATAAGTAATTCTCATTAAATTCATAATGAATTATCTAAAAAGTATTAATTTTTATACAAGATCTTATTTATATAATGTAACATGTTTACTTGTAAAACGAGATTATGTGTGTAAACAGACTAATACAATGCGGAAACTATAATTCATTTTTTTGGTTTACCATCAAATTTGATTTTTTCATTGTTTGGTAAAACTTTGATAAAAGTGGTAGCGATTTCCAAAATTCATATTTGTTTTTAAAGTTACTTTTAACTAATTTGGGTTTAATTGAGTTAATAAGTAGTATAAATGGTTGATCTTGAACCGATTCAAATGTTGGCCAAACAGAACCCTCTTCAGTTCCATCAATAGTAGGTTTATTTCTAGAAGTTATTAAAATATTGAAACACATATTCGTAAAATAGTTAGAATTTTTTTATATAAAAAATTAATTTAGTTGATAAACATATTGTCATACGAAAATGAACAAAATAGAATAAATTTCACTGACAACTCTTATAACTTGTGATACAATTAAAATTTTGTTTTAATTAAAAAATAAATTTAATATACAATTTTTTCATGATTCATATGATATTTTAGCACTTCTCTTGCAAAAATGATAAATGATTTGATAACATTTTTAGGATAAATACTTATTGAGTTACAAGAATTTTAATACATAGTGTACGCAAAAATCGAAAGTGGAGTAATATACTAGAAATATATAAAATATTAATATCCATGATTAACATATTGAGTGAATATGAATATAACTCCATCTGTGTTTTATACCTACACTATGTATTAGAATACTTATCTATATATATATACAAAAAAACCCAGCACAGGGGAGTCGCGGCACTGTGGTGACGTGGCACAGTTGGATCAAATATAATGATATCTGACAGTGATTAAAATCACTATCATAAAAAACGCTTCGATGCAAATCTTTAGATATTGTTTAATTTTAAAAAATTGGTGGATTATTCCAAAAGCTACATGATCTGCTAGTTCCTTATTAATATCCTGATTAAGATAAAGTATATAGAATGAAAAAGGGATTATTAAAAAATATTATTTCTCATAAAAAAATTATGTTGATCCATACAATTTTTAATATATTATAGTATTATAAAGTTAAAAATGTAAAAAATAAAATCGAGAATTTTCACACAATAATAGCATTTGGTAGCCATTTTCACCGTGAAGACAAAATAAAGTCCGAAATTTATTTTTCCATAATAAAGTAAATTACATTAGCTTTAATTTAAGATATATATAAAAGTGTCAGACCTCCCGGAACACTTTCAAAAGTTAAGTTGGAAAAGTTGTCATTTTAAATCCCCCCTTGTGGGCATGTAAAGGGTCAGATTTATAAAAAAAATATACCAAATGATAGGTAAAGACATCAAACATATATGACAAAAAAAATTTATATTGATTTGTTCATTTTTAAGAAAGTTATGGCAGTTTTAAGTAAAAAAAAATTTCGAAAATTAGCGATTTTTAAATTTGTAATTTTTTTGGAGGTTTCCCCCATTTACGGAAATTTTAATTTTTAAATTTTTGAGGGTAATGTCTTCGACTAGATACTATTTGTGATCTTTTGACGTATCGTTGAAAGAAATCCGATCGATGAGAGCTAAGAAAAAGTAGTAACAGACAAAAAAAAAAAACATCATAGTAAAACTAATACCTTCTCAGCTTCCTATCGAAGCTAAAATAAGTGTACATTTTGAATAAATTTTATAACTCAACATCCAACAAACCGATTTCAATAAAAATTTCAAGGCATATTAAGATTGATATGTAGATGGTTTTTGTAAAGTTAGTACGCTGTGCGATATATGGTTCCGAGGTTATGACCTCTTAAGTGCACACCTGGCGACATGGCCAAAAAAAAAAAACAATTTCGTTATCACATTGTGCAGTAAACGTTCGGCTCAGGCTCATTTCTACAGTTTTAAATGAAATCGTGTTCCACATTCCATTTCGTTATCGCATTATAATATTAAATTATTGAATATCAATTTCATACTAAATTTAATTACTATAATTATTATTTATTCATATATCTATGTACATAAAAATAATTCTATAATTACTCATCCTAAAATTGTTATCAACCCATCAATCTTTTTTGTAAGAATAGTGCTAAAAACTGGCTATTTCTATACTTTGAAAAAAATTTTAATTCAATTTTTTTTTCAAATTATTATTATTAAAAATAAAAATATGATTTTAACGTAGTCTAAAAGTTCATAAATAATATTTCTATTAATTATAAAAAAGTTTTATAGAAACTTATACTAACTTTTAAGTTAGTTTTAAAATCCATACAAACAAATATAACCTTCAAATGTAAAACCAATGTTATCAAACAAAAATGTTTTATAATAGTAAAATAATATTTAAAGTATAGAAAAATTAACCAAGATAAAAAACTATTTATTTAATATTTAATTATAAATATTTATTAATATTAATTATTAAAAAAAAGTGTTCTTATAAAGTTAGCGAAAAAATGGATATGATATCCTCACATTTAAATTATTTTATTATTGTGTTATAATTATCTAATATACAGGTGATTTATTAAGAATAAGATACTCATTGTAATCTACTGAATATTTAATTTTTTTTTTACCTTTAAAATAATATGTACTTAGATTATTTTTATTTTTTATCTGTTTAGAGATGAAAAACTTTTAACTTTAATTTTCTATAATGAGATTCCTTATTTTTAGTTTGAATGTATTATACAGAAAAAAATTGTTATTCATCTAATTAACCAATTGCTTTTTAAGATATTTAGAGATTTAAATTTAAAATATTATATGTACAAATAATGTTATACATATAGATATTATAACAAATCATCGTTATTATAACAACTATAATCAGCTTCAATGGGTCATAAATAATTGTTATGGTAGTTTTATACTATCCTCTTAGGCACTTGGTTTCTCCATCAAATTTCAATAATTACTTTTCTACTCTAGGCCATAGTTTCATCGTGGGTGGTGACTTAAATGCCAAAAATTTACAATGGGGTTGCTTTTCTAACAACCAAAGAGAAAACTCTTTACTCCACGTCATAAATAATAATAATATCTCAATAATCCCGCCACAAATGCCAACATACTGGCCCATCGTCCCAAATAAACGCCCTGGTATAACGGAAATATTTGACTCAAAAACTCCGAACCATAAATTTTACACAATAGAAAATCTGCTAGATCCATGTTCAGACCACTCATCAGTTTTACTAAAACTTGAAACTTCAGTACCCCATCGTTTAAAAAACCCCTCTCTTACAAATAGAAATATGAACTGGCCTAATTTTTGAAATATTTTAAATAGTAACATTAATCTCAATGCAAGTCTAAAATCACATAATGAAATAGATAACGCAGTTAACAGTTTCACCACATGTATTCAATCTGCCACTTGTGAATCATGTAATCCAAAATGGCATCTATCTCCGATCTACTCGTCTCTTCTACCCGCTTTCGCTAGAAACCAAATTGCATAAAAACGTCATACAAGAGGAATTTGGCTTCCATCCGATAAACAATTGTATAATAATCTGTCAATACGTGTCAAATGCCAATTAAAAGAGCTACGTTCAAACTCCTATATTAGACATACTGCTTCTCTCTCAACTAAAAACGAGTCAGTACAGAGAACAACAAGAAGAAGTATGCTACGTTGAATACGAAAAATCCGAAATTTTTTGTGAACACCTATCTAAAGTTTTCCAATCCAATCACGATCTCCCAATCCCCCTCACTAAATGACCCTACCTCGTACAGGCCCATAAGATTACTTCCCTTCTTCTCTAAAGTATGCGAAAAACTTATCCTAAAGCGTATCACCCCAATCATAAAAGAAAAAACATATTACCAGACAACCAATCCGGGTTCCGTGAATGTCATTCGACAATCCACCAGACGCACTGTTTGACAGATCTTATACCTCTTAGTCTATAGAAAAAATTGTATTGTACAACACTGTTCTTAGATGTTTCTCAAACATTTAATCGGGTTTGGTACTCAGGCCTCCTGATTAAACTTCGTAATATCCTACCACCCTCTTACTTTGTACTTTTTAAATCCTATCTCAACCAACGCTACTTTGCCACAAGAACAGATACTGATATCTTTCAATTGTGTGAAATAAAAGCAGACGTTCCCCAAGGAACGTCTGCTTTCCTCTCCACTTCTTTTTAATTTATTCAGTTCAGACCAACCAACCACCCCCAACACTAAAATAACCGATTACGCAGACGACAAAGCAATAATTTCTATCCATAAAAACCCACATGTAGCCACCGAAATCTTACAACTGCATCTTGATAAAATGTCAAAGTGGTATAAAAAATGACGCGTCAAAATTAATGAAAATAAATCTGCCCATGTGACTTTTACGCTTTGCAAAAAATCACCCCTCCTGTTTTAATCAACAATACCCAAATTCCAATTTAGACCAAAACAAAATACCTGGGATAAATTATAGATAAACGTCTCACATGGGCGCCCAACTTACATGAGAAAAGAATAATATTAAATCAGCGCCTAAAGTTCTTACGGTCATTACTTAACAAAAAATCAAAAACTATTTTAAAATCAATACTTACTATATACAAAATATTACTTACACCAATTTGGTCGTATGGGATAGAACTCTGGGGCTCAGCTGAAATTTTCAACACAAACAGAATCCAAGTCTTCCAATCAAGAGTCTTACGCACAATTCTTGCCGTACCTCCTTATGTTTCTAACGAAACGCTCCACAAAGATACTTCCCTCCCTACTGTAGTCGAAGTAGCCAAAATCCCCTATAAAGGGTTCCAAATAAAACTACAGGGACATCCCAATTCTTTAATCGCCGACTTGGCCTCCAATAATCTTCCTGAAAACCTCCGCGTCGTCTAAAAATAAAATTGTGTAGAGACCTGCTAACATAGACTAACTGCACTTTTCCAGTTATTGGAGTTCCATCACTGGATGGTTTCTCCAACCATGTTTAACTGTGAATTGTAAATTCATTTTTAAGTTATACCATATGCTTATTGTACGAATGTAATGTACAAATTGTATATTTTATAAAAAAAAAATGGTAGTTTTCATAAAAAATTTTCTATGTCATATACGATAATAATTGATATTTAGAATAAAAATTATTAGAAAATATTAATTTAAAACAAAATATATTTAACTTAAGCCATAAAAAATTATTAAAAAATCGCGTATACGTAATTTGGGAACAATGTTATTATCATCAAAGCTAATCATAAACTATTAGAAAAGATAACTTGATATGTTTAGTTGATTAAACAATTATAATAAAAATAACTGATCATAACTTTTTTTTCTGTTCAACTTATAATTATATATTATACAATACTTCACCTTATTATACAATAGTAAATTTGAGTTGAATATAAGAGCATGCGTCTGTTATTAAACAAAAATTATTTAAGATAAGATTTCTATATAATAGATAATATAAAATTTTACCTATATATATAATATCAAAATATCAACAGGAAATTATAAACGCCTATTTTATTATACAACAGAAGTACGATCCATCAAATAAAAAAAAATTTGAAAATATTTAATACATTCCTAAGAAAATGAGTCTTTTATTCTAAACAAACCTGGTGTGGCACTCAAAAATCGAATGTAATATTCTTTTACGCTATCCCTTAATTTTTTTTTAATGCTTATAAAATTGAACTATGTAAAATTTGGGACTAATTTGTAAAGATTAACCCGTGTCATCGGACTTTTTAAGTTAAATGAGGCACTTTTAATAAAAATAACTGATCTATGTCTCGTAATTTTTTTGTTTGACTAACTTAGAATTATGAAAGTAAAACTCGTGTAAAGGAAATTTCACAAAAAATAAAAAAATAATAACGTCAATTTTGTTTTCTTAATGGACAGCTTACAAAATCACTACATACAATTAAAAACAGTTAAAAGCCTGAAAAATACGTTATAGTTGATTTTGTTTATTTTTACTTATTTATTTTCATTTTATTCTTCCGAAAACGCTTATTCCATTAAAAAAAAATTCTGGAAGTTCAATTTTTTATGCCAAGTACGATAATTATACTGGATGTATTATGTGACCAGTTAATTATTTATAAATTACAAAATTAACTAAATTTTCTATATTATTAGATTTTTTGTTTAGGGAAACTAATTTATTTTTTGGTTATCGGTTATGGTTTTTAATTAATACATTACTAACACTAAATTATAACTATTTGAGATCTCTTTCGTTGGAATAAAAATCTAATGATCTTACGTACTAAGAAAAACATAATCATCAAATGAATTTTTTTTTTAATTTCTGATAATGTTCTAAAAAAATTTTCTTTATTAAACCTACATAAAATTTAAAATAATACTATGTACTTTAAGATAAAAAAGAAACTAGCTAAAATATCGATTTCTAAGAATTATCAAGCTAAATATTAAATTTTTATGAGCATTAAAAAAAATTTAATGGATAGCATAAAAAAAATTACATTTAATTTTTGAGGGTGTTTGCCGAAGAATCAAAAAGAAAGAAAACATTTATAAATGATACTTACAAAGTTGATGCAAATTGAGTCCAAATATTGACCATAACTTTAGATATTTTTGTATCTTGATCGTTTAAAGTTTTCAAATTAAATGCATTCAATTTAAACAAACTATTAAGTTCATCACCATGTGTTACTCCCAAATATTTTTTACATGGACCAAATAATTTGTTAAATGAAAATTCATTTTGATAATCATAAATATAAAAATACACAGGTGAAAGTAATGAATAAGCCATGGATAGTGCACCATGCAGGTGAGCTCCATCAGTCATCATCTAAAACACAATCAATTTTTTTTTTAATTATGTCAGAAAAATAACTTTATTTTTATAATTATTAACTTACAATATAAGTATTCAAACTTTCTAAAGGGCGAAATTGGGTAATTGTAAATACATTTTTTAGATAAAGGATGAAATTTTTACTTCAATCTTACATCAAATATTAAAGCAACACGTATACAAACTAGCATTTTACAATCTAAAATAAAATCTACTAAATATTCTAAGAGAAAAAATGTATTTACAATTCGTTTACATTTACCACACTTTAACCTAAAATGTCACAATTTAATATATTAAATGGTATATAATTTATATTAAGTGCAGTGTAGTACGTTGACCGTTTTTTTTCTCACGCATTTTTTTTCGGTCCAATTTTTAATTAATAGTTTAGTTAACATGGTTCAACTTATAACGAATAAATGTGATGTACCTATTTAAAAACCTTTAGTGACTGGCTCTAAAAATTAAAATAAAGTACATTTGTATACAGATTTTGTGTCACTGCCAGATTTGCTTATATGTACCATCGAACTAATAGATTGTGGATAGTGGAATTCCACAATAAAGAATTTAAAGATATGAAATACGAATTTTCAGATTTTCGTAATATTTTAAATTTATTTAAACCAACTTTTGATCAGAAATCGAAAAAATTAAAAAGTATTTTTTATATTGAATTAAAAAATGTACGCGAAAAAGTACACAAACTTAAATAAATATACTTGTTCTACCTTTACTGACGTATGTTTATTAAACATAGTAAGAGAAACCCTAAAAAGATTATCAAAGGTTTACAATATAATAATTTTCAATTTTCTGGATGACAACAACGGAAAAATATAATAGACGACTACTTAGGAATACGATTTGTTCAATTCCTTAAGATATAAAGTTAAAATGGTAAATAAGCTCTTAAATGAAATAACTAGGTTTTTTAATTTACAATCATTATCAGCACGACAAGAAATTTTAAATATTTTATTTTTGATAAAAATTAATAAATTATCCCGAAATTTTCGAAAAGTAAATAAGGAATTGGTTTTCTATTATTCTTCTATGAAATAATTTAATTATTATTTCTTGTATTTAATTATTTTTATCTCGTATTAAATTACAAAATCTAAATGTTTATAAATTTAATATTTCATATATAAAACCGTTTTTGTGTTACAAAAATCTTATTATTTTAGCTCCAATGCAAAGCTGAGAATATTATATATTATCATGGTATAATTATTATACTATAATGTGTATGTTTTTGTGTCTGTTCATATAAATTTTCAGCTCTCACTGAGCCTAATTTAAAATTTAATTTTGAAAATATCATCTTTGAAAAATGAAAAAACCACCTCAGTTTTTAAAATTTACCTAAAAATATCACAATATTATCAAAAAGGCATTTTCAAAAAAATATTTTTTTATTTTAAAATTGCTTTAACTTTTTTTTTTAAATCATTGAAACGAATAAAATTTTAATAGAATATACTAAAAACAATTAAAAGTTATTGACATAACTTATGAAAAATGGATAGGAAAAACTTTGACAAGTATGAATGAGACTAGTTACCCATGTAACATTTTATTTAAAAAAATTATTTAATTATAAATTTTTTAAATTCCATATACATTTTTTCTTCTTCTTCTTTTCTATAGGCTAAGCCTTGTCATAGCTAATATCCTGGGGAAATTAAGTGCAGTTGTTTCCCGGTGCCTTATGCACTAGGAACATGGTGCTTTTTCGTCACCGTAGAAGCGCACGCATGGTCACCCATCTGTTCACCTACGGTGGTAGGGGCGGCTTAACACTAGAGATTTGTCAACAACTAGTGTGACCACCGCGCCACACCATGCCCCTAATAAACTAAAGTAATAATTAAAATGACATAATACGTATTTATTCTTGTATTATACTTATAAACCATAAAACTTGTAATCAAAATATCACTAACAAAATATATGTTGAAAAATCTAATAATTCATTCTAAAAATAAAACACTATCTACAGATTTACATCGATAAAATTTTCATATTAGTGATTTTAATCACTGTCAGATCATCAATACTTGTCCCAGCTATACCACGGTCCCACTCTGTGGGGTATTATGTTTTATTAATTTGATGTACTATTATTCTTGAGGGTATTACTTATTAATAAATATATGAATAAACATATTACTTCAGCGGTATTGAAATGAGTATGATCTTCCATTTTTTCCCTAGGGTAATACTTTTTTAACAATCGTTGGCCAATATCATTTACATTTTCGGGTAATGCATATTTATTGTAGCTCAAAATAATACTTATGGTATTTTTAAAATCATCTTGCAAAAATTCTGGATAAAGAACAGATGTTTCGTTATATAAATCTGTAAAAATTAAAATTGTATGAAATTACTTGGTTTCTCAGTTCACTAATAAATTGATGAATAATTGCAAATATATACGATAGATTAGCGTGTTCTGTTAGTAATATAAAATTTTATATGCCATCATTCCAAAATTATTCAATAATTGAATAATTTTGGAATGATGGCATATTTTGTATAATTATTATACAAAAAAAATTATTAACATTTGTCTTTTGGCTAAAATCAATCTGAAAATTCATTCAAAAATATTTTTTATGTTGTAGTTTATTACGAAATAGTTATAAACGTCTTACAATAATAATGAATATATAATACATTAATTGTAACTCAAAAACTTTGTAAAATCAACAGTAAAACTAAGTTTTAAAGAAAAGACAAAAAAAACACGAATCTCATGGAATACATAAATCTCAAGTTGGTATAATTCTTAACTTATAAATAATTAAATTCTATCTCTCAAACTATATTTATCATGACTTAACTTTATAACTAATAAAATTTATTCATTAATTACATAAATATTTTAATAATGAAACTTACATGAAGTTATCATAGCTCCTTCGGCTGAGTTTATTCCTATTATGACTGGTACAAATGATTCTTGATAGAAATCGTTAAATTGATGACGACAAAGAAATGCATTCTTGTTAATATTACAATTTTTTTCAACAACTGGTTTAAAAGCTATAGGATAGTGAAGAAATTCCTATCATAAAAATTGCTTCATTTAATTCAATCATTATTAAATACAGCTGTATATAAAATAAAAATTGTATCTTTTAAATGTTTAATAAAAATTAAAATTCTGTCTATATGAATGTATTAAATGTGTTCTATGACTTCAATAAATATTGATGTGATGAATATTTTCTAAATGTGATTTTCTATTAAATTATACTTATTTGTAAATTTGTATGAATTACTAAAACGACTTTATTCAATCAAATTCAAGTCATTATGAATTATTTAAAAGGCAAAAACTTGTGTTTTGATGTGTTATAATTATAATTATATTTTAAAACATTTTTTTTGAAATGATGATTAATTAAAATAATACAAGACACAAAATTAACTTTCTATTATATAAAATTGAGGAATTATACTATTTACATCATGTAAATTTTTAATTATTATTTTTATCAACTCACGGAAAATTCACTTGCTATATTTGTAAAAAATTTTGCCGGAAGTTTTCTTAGACATTTCAGAAGGCTTTTAGGATTTTTATCAATACAGTTTGCCTTTTTAAAAATGATATTAGCCCGTTTTCGTGCTATACCCGGCATTTCAATAGCCCATCGGTTTAGGGGTGTACCACTCTGGAGAATAGCACCGTGAAATAAATCTTTACTTAGGGGAGACAATAAGTGGTATCCTACACTTGCCGCACCAGAACTGGCGCCAAAAACTGTTACTTGATTGGGATTTCCACCAAATAGCTCAATATTTTCTTGAACCCAGCGTAACGCTAATACTTGGTCTTTTAAACCAAGATTTCCAGGGATCACTTCATCTTCTGTACTCATAAAACCTGTATAAAAACAGTATTTATGTTAAAAACGTCCAGTTGAAAGTTTCTTTTAAAATATTTAACGTAAGTTAACCATATCATGTAATCTACAACATATCCGAAGTCTAAGTCAGTAAATTTAATGTTTAAAAAATCACCCCCTTATAACCAATTTTAAACTAACCCAGAACACCTAATCTATAGTTAATTGATACAATTATGACGTCTTTATCCATAAAATATTGAGGTCCAAACATTTGAGAACCCCCATTGCCACTTGAAAACGCTCCGCCATGAATCCAAAACATAACTGGTAGTAACTTATCTACTTGAGGCTTGTAAACATTCAGATACAAACAATCTTCACTACTATTCAGATCACCCTTTTGAATACAAGCATTAGGTTCTTTTGTTGCATCAAGAATTTCTTTCCAAGGTTTCACCTCTTTTGGAGCCTTAATTAATACATAATTTTCAGGTTACATTTATCAAAATTTTATGTTCTTAAATAATACTGTAACAGAGATGAATATTTCATGCGAGATTATTCCGATCTTGCATACAAAATATTATTATATTTTATCTATCTACTCAAAGTGAATAACAATAGAATAATAAGTGATCAATTGTGGTTAATATTATATAAAATTAAAACTAAAAAACATTAAAAATATTTAACACAAAAAATTACTAAAAATCACGGATACGTAATTCGTAATTAGATATATGATCCAAGATTTTTTTAGTAATTTGTTTGTTTAATTTTAGTCATAAATTAATATTTTTAACATAGTTTTAAATTTAAAGTTTTCTGATATTTTCCGGCCAATAAAGGTAACGGGCTAGACGTTACACAAAATTGAGTAATTGTTTGAAATCCATATGGTTATTAAAATTATGTAATTTAATGTGTAAATCACATGACTTGTTTAAATTTTATATTTCTTATGATATTAAATAAAATTCATTTTTTTAAATTTAAATGGAACAAGTATAATTAAACATATTTTAATTACTTTGACAAACTCACGACCACAAAAATACATCGCTTTTTTACAAAGACAACAGTATAAATCAAAGAAAAAGTATTATCTTCTAAAAACTAAATTATCTTATTATATAATAGAACAAGTAAAAAAACATTTTTCTAGGAAAATTACTTAGCGTGCTCGGATTTTCAAAATTTTTTTTTTCAACGAAAGTATTTGGTCACCAGACTCCAGGAAAATTATTGGCAAAGGTCGGAAAATTTTTGCCGCTCGCCTACGAGCGTTTTAAAATTTTGACCGTTTTCGAAAAAAAACGCTCGCTGAAGCCAGCGTTTTACGACTTAAGGTTTAAAATTTTCATCAGACCCGCCCAATGACATTTCTGAGATATGATAAAAAAATCAATTCAATCCGTTCATTTTTTATCGTTTTACGATCTTTTTTTTTAAGTCCACGCGCATGGTTTTTATATGCGCAGTGATTCATTTCTGCTCATATGTTTATTATGAACCTTAATTATATGGTGTAATATGTATTTTTATTATAACACTATTTTGCATTTGCACATAGCACTATATTTTATCGAGAAATATTATATGTCATATATAAATTTCAAGACGGTTATAATTATTTGTACTTTTAAGTTTGTATTAAAGTTTGTACTTTCATTTTCAGAACAGTACATTATTAATAATCTTTTTTTTCTCATCTATGATGTATGAGTCTATAAGTTTATCGTTTAAATTGAGATTCATCTATGACAGCTATCCTGCCCAACGTTAAACAAAGTAAAAAATATTAAATACCCTCCTAAAATAATTTTTGAATAGGCCTAAGGGGAATACCTCATTAACAAACGTCAACCTTATACCCAATACATTTTACTATATTCTCTTTTTGAATTTTCCTAATTTTAATAATAACATTTTTAATATATTTTTGTTACACTGATTCTGATGTAATATTTTTTCTGCAAAACACTTATCGTGCCTGGATACTCCTACCGAAATCAGTGGCCTACTTATGATGACGGCCCGAAGAGGCTTACGCGCCGAAGGCTCGTAAGGCTCGTAGGGCTCCGGGTCTGGGACGGAGCCCCAGCTAGGCGGAGCCTAGTAATATATAACAAAATTATTTTAACATGTTTTTAAGAAAATCATAGATTTTTTGTTAAGTTGTTTTAGCGATAAAGTGGTATAATAGTAGTTTTACTTCAAATCTAAGTTCTCCAATTGGCGGTTCAGCGTATGGTATTCCCGTAAACGAATTATAAACTCGTCCATTTCTCGATAACAACTGATGTCCTTTTAATATTCCCTTCTTAGTTGTAACTTCCAATAAACCAAAACATAATATTAATTCAATAAATATCACAGACAGTAGGCCAACTTGTATTAAATACATCTAAACATAAATAGTTGATTTGACATTAACTAAGTTTAAATCAGAGATTTATCTGTTATACACATTTAAAGATAAATGCAATGGTTACCAATTGTCTTTTATAAAATAAAATAAAGGTAAAAATAATATTTATATAAACTATGTTTACTTTTTTAAACAAGTATTTGTTTAATAAAATTAATTAACATTCCAAAACATTTTAAAATCGTTGGCGTCATTTGTAGGGGGAGCAACTTAAAATAGAAAATTAAGGAAATTACAGGTTAATAACATTTTTGGACCAGTACTTGAAGAAGTTATTTACATTTATTTACCTAGGTGAGAGAAGAATGTATAATGATAAAAATAGTCGTAAAAGAAAAAACATATTTTAGCTTCGATGCGAAGCTGAGAAGGTATTGGTTTTACTAAGATGTGTTTTTTTTTTTTTTTT